AGAAACGAATACCTGTTTTTTATAGATGCATAAAAAATGTGTTTTACATTTATACGATTCGTTCCGCAGTTTGGATACAACAAAAAAAAACTTTATGCATGCCCATATAATAATATATGATGTTATTTATCTCGAATGAATCTGAATCGTTGTTCCGAAAAGAAATTTGAATTGTGGTTTTATAAAAGATTTGTTTGATCGTGGGACATATGCAGGGTTTATGAGAATTTCTTTTGTGTACAGTAACGAACGCATGTAAGTTTTTTTTTTCATGTATCAGTAAATTATGTCGTATGAAATACTATAATTTCGCTGAATATCGACTAAAATGATCTTCATTTGTATGAATTCTCAATTTTGAGTATTGCAAGCTAAATGTAGAGAATCTATATGTAAAATTGAAAACTGTAAATCAAAACATAATACAAAGAAATTAGTATACAATTTGCCTAGCAAGCAAATAAAAACAAGTCAATTTGTCCCCTTTTCTTGCACGTGCAATTTATTTTATTACCTATTAATTTTTAGCTTTTTTAATTTAATTTGATTTATATGAAGGACGTTACATGAAAGCATAATTTTGGGCTCAGATTTGCTTTTTCGTAATTAATCGTTGAATAAATTTCTTTTGAAGATTTTGATAAAACTTTTGTTCATGATCTTAACGAAGATCCTCCTAAAATATTATAAGCCTAGAAAAAGTGATTTCATTATCAAAACTCATAAACATTTACAATAATGGGCCATCTCAAAGTTTCAAAATTCTTTCGTCACAATTTTAGAAGTTACTCAATCTCATTTTTGGTAGTTTGTGAAACTTGTGAAAAAAAGCTACTTACACTTAATGATATTATTTCTCCTAACATTTGTCAATATAATGAAAGAAAAGTTCTGCAAAGGTTAATTAATAAAACTGGTTTGTTTGGTAAAGTTTTGCTTAGATTAGAAGTGTAAAAAGGTAACATATTTTTACAATTGTTGGCTCTATATTATTAAAATATATTATAATCAAATAGCATCAATTCAAAATCAGTGTAATTTGTAAATGCTAAATAAATTTGCTTCAAGTAAATAAAATGCTACAAATTATATTCAATCGCTTTTACAGAACAATGCATTTTTACAGTGTAATATTTTTTGTAGCAAGTAAAATATATGTATAATATTATAAATTCTTTAGATATTTCAAATGTGTCTATTTGTTTATTCAAATTGCTACAATAATATTTTAAATATTTATAATAATTACCATATTTAAAATAACGAATTCATATTTTGCGCGAAAATCTCCACATGCACCATGTTAAAGCAACAAGCTACTTATACACCTAGTTAATATTATTTCTACTATGAATTAATTTTTGTATAATATTTTGCCATTGAAGTGTTCAATTATCAACAAAAATATTTAAATTATTTTGTTTCTAGACATTATTCCCTTAATTTAACATTAAAAATATTTATTTATTAGAGACCACATTGTCAAGTTCTGAGAGCAGTCAAATAAAGGGAATTAGATATGGCGGCGAGAGCAGCAAAGACTTTGAGGCATCCGTACTCTCGAACTATTGATTTTACAAAAAAAAACGGTTATGGAATGAATTGTAGAAAATTTTATCTACATTCGTACATAGCTATTTTTATCGTAAAATGAGCTGGAAAGGAGATATTTAGAAAAAACTGTTTTTGACGCCATTTTTCCAATATGGCGGCGACTTACCGTAAAAATTCGAGGTAGCAAAGTTGAAATTTGTAAAGAGCCTATGGGACTATTATAGCATATTCAAAAATTTGTTCATATAATGAAAAGAATTAGTCTGAAATCGTTTTAACAGTAGGGGGAGATTGGGTACGGTTGTGCCACTTTTTCATCGACAATAGTTTTGGTACCAGTTAGCTATGAGTAAAGTAAATTAAATAATAATTTGTACTACTTGTACTACTACTTGTTTGTCTACTTAGAAAAACTTAAATACTGTCCTTTAATACGACGTATTAGTCATATAATCATATCATCGTTATTAGTGAAATAAATTATATACTCAAAACTAATTGCTAGTAATTATTTACTAGTACAGCAAAATAACAAAGAGAGATCTATCTGAAATTGAACAAAAAAAACCTTTGATTCTTTGAATGCAATGCGGTCTACGAATCAAGTCAATGCAATAATGGAAACTTGCTCAAACCTACATACTTCGTCTTTTTACTTTTGAACCCTATGTCAAAGTCAGTATAGTTTAGGAGGCAACCATCAATCACGTGAGGTTTTTACGGAGAATATATCACGTATATTTATTTTTTACCTGAATTTTTTTTTAAAAATATCCAAACATTTTCAAAATAAATCAAAAACTTTACAATTGTTTCTCGTAACTAAAAATACACGTAATGTTTCTTGGGGGAGGGGGGGTTGGATTGATTTTGAATATCACCACGTTTCACAAAGAGGGGGGGGTTTAAAAATTCTTAAAAAATCGATCACGTGATTAATGGACTTTCCCTTAGCTGTCATGGCGATCGTCACTACCGGGCCTAGAAAAACTGTATCAAGTCTACTCTACAATATATTTTTACAGTGCTATAATTTTTGTAGTAAGTAATATATAAGTTCTTTAAGTCTCATATATCTATTTATTTATTCAAATAGCTACTCAAATATTTTAAATATTTATAATAATTACCATATGTAATATTCCGCACACAATTTTTTACGAACACCAGTTATTTATGTGGTGTTATCATTCCGAACTTTATTCGACTTTAAAAGTATGTTTATTATCATAATTACTACTCGAATGCTTTTAGTAAGTGTGAAGCAGAAACGTCTTAACTACACCGTGAAACAGTAAAAGCTTATTATATTTTTATGATACACTTAAGCAACTGATAACAGCCGTTTTCTCGTGATGACGCGTGCGGCTATGGTTGCTTTTAGTGAGTAGTAAATGCGCATATTCTATAATATTTGATGGGACTTTTATTCAGTCCTCTGTCTGTCTGAACGTCTGCCGAACGATTTTATGGCGAAGGGGATTCCTTGGCCAAACAACGAGATCAATTCCCTAAATTGATTGGTTGGGAATGGTTAATATTTATTTGTACTGAAGACGATGTAGAGATTGTTGAACTTGGTAGAAGATCTTACTTTGTTTGATGAACAGTAAGTGAATATTTTACGTAAAATAAAGCATCATTAACAATGAATACATTAATGTTAATGAATCTAGACAATTACACATTCAGTTGGCAAACTGTCTTACTATTTTGGATTTGAAAAGAAAACAGCGATTTAATTACCAGAATTAAGAAGTTTTATTGTTCTATATAGCGAGTGAACTGAAAACATATTTAAATTTTTCATTTCAAATCTCTTTCTTACTCAAACCAAAAACATTTGATTTTCATTTAATGATGCATTTTTTTTATTGATAAAATGTACTATTTTTTAAACCGATGTTTCTTCGAATGTTGATTTTTTAACTTCCCGTTGGGAATTATTGTAATCGTCCAAAGATTTCTGAACATTTTGGCATACCTCAGAAAAAATGGATGTGTGTATGTATGTATAGATACAATTTTTCGCCCACGTTTTCGGGCGCACGGATCAACCGATTTGAATAATTCAAAAAACATTCAATTCCTATTGATAGTTAGATGTGCTGATTAGTTTTTGGCAAAGGCAAGTCCAGCAGTTACGGAGATACGAAGCAAAAAGTGCAGAAAATAGAAACCGAGTTTTTGAGAGAACAGAGTATACGATTTGAATGATCAAAACAATATTCAAGGGAGAAATGGTGATTAGTTTTTGGCATAGGCAGGTCCAGCCATTTCGAAGATACAGAGCTAAATGTACAAAACTGGCTCACTTATATAATTTAAATAAATAATTTTAACTTAGCAATTCAGTTTTTATAATTCTTATAAATATTAAACAATGCTACAGTATTCATAATAATGTATTCGAAAACATTTAATATTTCTCGAACATTTCGTTACGGTACGGGAAGTTCCAGCAATTTGCCTTAAGGCACGATGCCATAAACTTCTACTTATTTATTTTATTAATAACAATCAGAACAGTTGTTTTAATTGATATTAATTAAATAGATTTATATATATAGTAGTTAATCAAGTGGGTATATACTGCAATTTTACTGGACCAAGTTAATTAGTCATATTTTTTTAATCTTCTTACTCCTGGTGTATGGTGCAGTGGAGTGAAATTGAAGTGATTTTCTAATTTGTGATGATTAATGGATCTTTTACGTACATAATTAGTGTTAAATATGTTAAATTATTTAAAAACTTTTGGATCCAAATATGAAGCATTTAAAAGTATAATTAGATATAAAGATAAATGTTTAATATCATAATTTAATGGTTTAACTTATAAAATCAATTAGTTTTAATATTACATTTACCTTTCGCAAACATTCTTATGCAAAATACTCAAATATAAATTATATAAAACGCCATATATTTAAATCCAAAGGTTTAAGTGCATGTATTAGCACACCACGTATTATATATCAATTTTCTTTACACTCTGGTAGTTCAGTGAAACCGGTTATTCTGTATAACTACATTATCACTTACATGATTGATTAATCTATAAATGTTTAGAAATGTACAGAAATTGATATATCATGATAACCGATGTACATAAATTTGCATTCATTACAAAAGAGTTAACATGGAAAATAAGTATAAAAATATAGCTAGCGTATCACTTGTTAATTTAAGGCCATATAATTGACCAAGCTAATTCAAATCTAATTAAAACATAAGTGATACATATAATAAGTGGTGATACATTAATATTGATATTAATGTTAATAATATTTTTCTAATTGTAATTAGTTTAGTTTGAATGCATTTTTGCTCTAAATATCTTTTAGATAAAATAAGATAATTCACAGATAATAAATTAGATAATTCACAGTATTAGTAGAAGTGACTTTTACCAAATGTGACTAAATTTCAATTTAATTTTTCAGTACTGTCCCTACGAAATACGCAAGAGGAAGAGCCTCCGGATCCACAACTCATGCGCCTGGACAACATGCTGATTGCCGAAGGCGTTGCCGGTCCCGAAAAAGGAGGCGGTGCCAACGCGGCGGCTGCAGCAAGCGCCAGTGCTGCGAGTCAAGGTGGGCTGATCACTGAATTATTAATACTTACATTTAATTTAAGAACTGAATTTATAGTCTGTGTCAATAAAAACTTCATGAGGTTTTTATAGAAGTTTATTTGATATCCATACAGTTCGGCTAGAGACCTAACCTTTATACTAAACATTAATTGAACTAAATAATTAAATACAAAACGTTTTTAATATAAAACTAATATAGACTACTTGTAATTGATATTATTCTGATTGTATAAGTTAAATCGATATTTCTTTTGTGCATTCATATTTACATTTAATTTAAGAACCAAATTTATAGTCTTTGTCAATAAAAACTTCATGAGGTTTACATAGAACTTTATCTGAAATCTATACATCTGGCCTTTATTCTTTGGAAAAATACTGAAATTTATAACTAAGTAAATAAACATCGTTTTAGTATAAAACTTATTAGTTTTGTCACCAAATCAGTGGTTTTCAACCTTTTTTGCAACGCCTCCCTGCTCTAATAAAAAAAAATTTGTTGCGCCCTTCTTAATTTTTTTAACAATTTAATTAAATAAATACTCAACTGATATAATATTATTATGAGATAACAAATTAATATGCAATATTATGTAAAAACTAACACTTTTTGCTTATTTTTTATTGTCACTTCAAAAATGTTCGTTATTTTTGAAAATAGTATTCTGATATACACGTCCTCCTTAGAACATCGCCTCACAGGTTGGAAACCGCTGCTCTAAACTAATAAAGTACTACAGTTTGATATTATGTTAATACTATAAATACAATCATCATTTATTCGTTCTTTTGAATAAATTCAAATTACAATGTGATATTTTATTATATAAGTTTCAATTTTATATTAATATTTCAAGTAATAACACATTTAAGTACTTTCTAGTAATTGTTCATAGTTGAAACATTATAGACATTTATCTATTTAATTTCATTTAGCTCAAAGTAAAAATATAAAATTATTATTAAAATATTCCTTTGATGAACTTACTTTAGTTAGACCATTTCAGGTATTTTTCTCACAACATTATTGGCACTAATGGCCTAACACTTTTTCTAAAATATATGCAATGTATATTACTTGTAATAGTATATATATATATATATATATATATATATATATATATATATATATATATACCAGCTGAGCCGACAAATGTTGTCCTGTACCCGTGTCTTCAATTCAAAAATTCCAATTTTCCTTATTCATTTTCATGAATATATTCTAATACTAATTCTAATTATACTAGACTCCTACTTTAACCTAAATTTAAATTTCAAGTGAATTAACATTTCTGACAGGTTACTATTCTCATGTGTCAAAACGTTTTCAATGTCAAACAATGATATGTTGTTTTTTGCATTTTTTTTTCATTTATTTTTACAATAGTACTACATAATAGTTTTATAATTCATGATATCTTAAAAATTTTGCTTAACAAACTCCAAAAAGATTTATCAAAATTCTAATAACCGTGTAGGAGGAGTTCGAATTCATACAATCTGTATAGAAGAATTATATATATAAGATTATATATTATATGTATATATATAAATCAAACGCTTATATTATAAACGTGTTTTTTGTATTTGAAAAGGAAGAAAAAACTATTTAAAATAATAATAAATATATATTATATTATTTACTTTGAACTTATATTACATGTTTTTAAAAAAATCATTTATAAGCTAAAATACTTAATATTTAATTATTTAATGTTATATAACGTTTTTTTATTATTAACATATTATACATTTTTATATTTCAAACAGGCGCGGGTGCCTCGTATTAAAAAAAATGATAACACGTAATATTATTTAATGTGATTAAAATGTTAAGATTTGTTACTTCTTACATACTATTAATTTTATTTAAAAATTTCAGATAAACAATCAAATTAACAATATTATGTAATTTTACTGTTATGGTCAGAAAGCAACATTGTCAATTATCATAAAATGCTTACCAAATTTTACTTGGTATTTTATAAACCATTTTTAGTCGACTTTGTGAACAAGTCAGTGTACTTCTACTGATAAATATTAATCCTATTGTAACTTACGAGTAAACAAAAATAATTACTAAAAACAATGAGATTGATCAGATCAATATAACGAGATACAAATTATCAATATAGAATATAACTATATTCATTTATTTATCATTTTAATTCAATTTGATTAAAATTCTTATTAAGATTCTTACAATTAGAATAATATTATTTTATTACAATTGAGCCAATTTAATTGGGGTTTTCTGTATTTTGATTATTAAAGGATTTTCAGATTACCTCGGCGGTCCAGGACAACCAGACAACGCTATTGAACATTCAGACTATCGAGCCAAACTAGCACAGATCCGACAGATATACCACCAGGAATTAGAGAAATATGAACAGGCATGCAATGAATTCACAACGCACGTTATGAACTTACTACGAGAACAGAGCCGCACCAGACCCATCACACCTAAAGTAAGAAAATAAATATATATATATACTCACCTGTATTATTGTGATATTTCATATTATTATAATATTGGTTGTTTTTTTTTAGGAAATCGAAAGAATGGTACAGATCATACATAAAAAGTTCAGTTCTATACAGATGCAGCTCAAACAATCAACATGTGAAGCAGTTATGATATTAAGATCTAGGTTTTTAGATGCACGGCGTAAAAGGCGTAATTTTAGTAAACAAGTAAGTTTTTATTTGCTTGAAAAAAATAGAGTTTTTGTGGATGTATACAATGAAACTGATCAAGTTATTGGTAAACTCTGTTGGCACTATTTACTCGACTACTCGAATCTCGAATAATTAGTAAGCATTTCAGTTTCAATATACAGTATACCTCGACTTACGAGTGTTTCGAGATACGAGCCGCCAAAAGAGCGATTTGTTATTTCGACATACGAGGAAAATTCGAGATAACGGCTTTGAGCGAGTAAGTAAAATGAAACTATGAAAAATTTCATCAGTTGTACCGATGATTTTTCTACCATAGAAATATTTTGGCTGTTTTATGATAGTAAATTATTTTATATTTAGAAAATTAATTATATATTAATATTAATTGTGTAGTAACGATTTACCCACGCTAATATATCGAGGATTATTTTAACATTTGAAATTTTGTGTATACATTAATAGTGATTGTTCAGTTATATATGTTGAGTTCGCGTTTTTGTGCTTTTTGAACATTTACAAAATATTATGTAGTTTTATCTTATTACGACGGATCTAAAGAAAAGAGTCATGTCTCTTGAATTAAAGGGTGAAATTATTGAAAAATATGAGGTTGACAAGGATATAGAATCATAAATATGTTCTGTATTTAAACAGAAGGATTTATTAAAGGGTATAACTCCAGCAAAGGGCCTTATAATAATTTACTAGCAGGTTTCTAGGCTTTAAAAGTTAGTTAAAGTCCTGAAAAAGTTGCAACAATTTAAGCATGGGACTTATAAAATGAAATATGTCTTACTCATTTCCGCAATATCATGAATGAGCAGGAAAAATCTATAATTAAATTAATAAATATTAAATTTATTTTTAATATTGAAAAAACTTAACAAAAACTAAAGTGCTGGAACGAATTAACGACATTTCAATGTATTTATATGGATAAAAGTGCTTCGAATTACGAATGATTCGACATACGAGCGTGGTTACGGAACGAATTAAACTCGTATGTCGAGGTACCACTGTATATATGTGAAATTTGGAAAGTTATAGACACTTTTCAAATTATTTATGTATATGTTAGTGAATAAGTCTATTTGTTCTTAAAGAAATATTACCAAATCCTCATTAGCCTTCAACCCTTCTTAATATTTATTAATCAAATACAAAAATAAATACTTTAATTTGTATTGATTTTTATAACAAGCCTCTTTTTAGGACCCAATAATGCTAAGATATATTTTTTTTATAAATAATTAAATTTATATTATATATAATATTGAATTAATATTATATATAATATTGAATTAATATTATATATAATATTAACACTTCCCACTCGCGAATTCCCAGATTTATATGAATTTTGCCGCCGGAGCAGCGGCATCTGAAACGAAAGGGTTAAATTTATATTTTATATAATATAATTTTCAACTTGAAAAAACAAAAAGCATGAATTTCTTTTGATAAAATATTTTTAAATACAAATGTTTCAGATATAGTAAATACATATGTTTCAGAGGAAATGCAACAACACTTCACTATGAAGACTTAAAATAAAATAAAATTGTTGTATTTATGTAAATATTTATCACAATTTAAGTAACATAAAAAATTTTTTACTAGAGAAATCAAACTAAATATATGTATATATATATCATTTTAATGATAAGAGAATTCGATTAAGAGAGAAACTATGCTTGTTTTATATTAATTATTTTATATTAGTATTTGAATTTTTGTACTCTATATTTCAATATATTTTTCCAGGCAAGTGAAATTTTAAATGAATATTTCTACTCCCATTTGAGCAATCCATACCCATCAGAAGAAGCGAAAGAAGAGCTGGCTCGAAAATGTGGTATCACAGTTTCACAAGTTTCCAACTGGTTTGGAAATAAACGTATTCGGTACAAAAAGAATATAGGAAAAGCTCAAGAGGAAGCAAACTTGTATGCTGCCAAAAAAGCAGCAGGTATTTGATTTTTTATCTAGAGAAATTTATTTTTTATTGAATAAAATGTTATATTCAAGATAAAGCTTAAGAGCAGAGAAAGACTTGGTAAACTTTGCTCATTTATAGATGCATATTTTTTGTTGTGACCAGATATGAAGTTTGAAATCTGTACTATCATATACAATCTAATTTGATATGAAATATGTGGTTTAATATTTTTCATTATTTGATAGCAAAATAATTGATACTTTCGATTTAGCTAAACAAAATCCCTTCACTTTGGATTAGCAGTTATTTAAGGAGCTTTGTAAAAATCAGTTTTCACAGTGTATCAAGTTATTAATATTATTTAAAAATTAATTTTATTATTTTCAGGAGCATCACCTTACTCAATGGGAGCTGCTAGTGGAACAGCGACACCCATGATGTCACCGGCACCTCCTCAAGACTCCATGGGATACTCTCTAGGAGGTGGTGGTTACGGTGACGCACCCCAAGGCTATGGTGATGGTTCCATGGGCGGATATGATCCTATGCATCAAGATCTGTCACCATAACTCGCCAAGAAACCATTTGCATCGAGATATTCTTCCCATGATGATCTGTATAAGAATGAAGTGCTTCCACCACAGTATAAAAGGCAATTTTACACCACTGATGTGATAGGTCCTGAAGATATAAGAAACTCTGTGAAAAATTCCATCAATGAAGGTTACAAGAATGATTTGTTCACCATGCAGTCATATGATAATGAAATGTTAGCTTTGGCGAGTAACGAAGAAAAATCAATTCCTCTGAATTTGAATATGGGATCTAATATGTTTAATAGTACTGCGGATTTTGGATTTAGTTCTCACTCTGAAGATTTAGATAAGAAACTGATCTTGTGCCCAAAAAGTGAACAAATGTGAAATAATGCCAAGTGGTGTAGCAACTCAATACTTACGTCAGATCACAATGTATTTAAGCTTCTGAGTTTTAGTTAACCTAATGAGTATATGTGGTTTTTAACTCTGTTTGTTGCTGTATTGGATAAAAAGTATTTAATTTTAAATTTAGTATAAAACGATTCTAAACATGTGAAAAAGTTTCGATGTTACAAATTACAGTTGCTTATACAAAAATATCATTAAAGCAAAATGTGTGTGATAAGTGATTACTATTTAATTCGATTGTGGGTTATAGCTACTTAATAAAAACATTAGTATAATTTTAGATACCAGTACAATATAAAGCGTTGAAGAACAGGAGTTATCGACGATTGCTGTGCAAATTTATGTTGACCAAGTGGCTGAAAATTATGTGGCATCTCAATTAATGTAAGGTTCTTTTATATAAATTAGTAATAGATATTATATTTTTGTTTATCAAATTTATTTTGATTATAAAATGGTAGCTCCGGTATCAAACTAACGATAAGTTTACTGGATATACAATTGTAAAATAAACTGTTTCTATTATTAGAAGCTAATCAATGTTAATTATCTGCCCACATCTTTTGTGTTTTGGTCTGATTGTTTGGTAAATTTTACTTTATTTCGTTATCTATTATTATTTTGTGAAAAAATATTTTATGCAAAACTGTTAAAAAAATTTATGTTGCTGTAAAAACATATTTTATTCATAAAACTTTTTATAATATAAACAAAAGAAATTTGATCAGTGAGGTGCTTAAGCACTTTAAACATTTGTAATTTCTTATTGCGTATATTAATATTTTTGTTGGAATATTTTTCAATTGGAATTATTTCTTAATTTCCTTTTTAAATCATAATATAAGTAAAACAAAGCGATAAAAATAAAAAATTAAATCACTAAAACCCAGACACGACAGATTGAATATTTGTCTTGTACATATACGTATACATAAGGTGCCTGAACTATTTGAAAAAGATACTTTATGTAATAATAATAACTTCATGATATAATTATAGGCCTAAGTAATAAGATTATATAATATTTTAATCATACAGCAAATTATCCCAGTAGTAGATTATCAATTTAATTAAATAATATTGCATGAAATAAAATAGAAGCAAAATATCATTTCAAAATTGATTTTATATTTTAGTTTTTTAGTGTTCTGTACAAATTTTTAGACATTGTAGAATTGTATATCTTTGAATTTATAAACTTGCTCAAGTTTTGTAAAGTCGTATTACAATTTATTTTATGGAAGACATGAAGCACCAACATTTCAATAAATATAGTAAGTAATTTTGATATCATATGCATTATGATATTTAAAATAATATTCTTGGTATAAAAATTAAAGTTATGATAATGAGAATTACTTACTATGTTTTTTAAAATGTTTCAGCTTTTAAAAATAATCTAATTAACAGCTTTATTTTGGAATTTATATTTTATTACAAGTGTGAAGTTCATATTTATAATAACAATCAAATTTTTCTGGGATATGCAATGTTATACGAGCATTTCATTATATGTACTTTCATATGTGTACATATCTATATATAAAATTTGTGTGTAAATATGTATACATTTGTTAATACGTTTAATATTAATGATAATTAGATTTATGATAAATTTTTGGTATGCAGGTTAATTATCGGAAACATCATGTGATATTTCTATTATTTTGGTGTTTCAGATTAATTAATTTTGTTAGCAAAAAATTACATACCCACGATTGTATACGAAAATTAAAAATCAAAAAAATATAAATTGAAAAATTCTTAGGGTTACAACTATAAATAAATAAATATATATGTACCTATTAACACTTATATTCTTCTCGTGTCTAAAAAATTTCTGTGTAATTGTACTGATGTATACGATGAGCGATTAAATTGAAAATTTAAATCCTAAACAAAAATGTTAAGATAAAAAGTGTAATGTGCAAGAAAGAACTTTTTTGATAGAGCTTGTGCAAAAGAAAAGTTATGTTAAAAAATTTTGCTTGTATTTTTCATTTAAATACATTGACATTTAATACAAACTAATTGGTATTTAATTACATATTTTTCTATAGATTATTATCAAAATAGGGTTGATGACTGCATGCTTCAGAATCTGAGTTGAAAGGATACCAGAAACAGCAATAAAATAGGCTGGTAATGGATTCATATTATAAATATAATAAAGCAGGTTTGATTAAATTATTTTATATAATTTTAAATAGTAAGACGAAAGTCCCAATCTATTTTCTTTTTATTATAATTATTTGAAATAATTATATTATAAAATTTTTATAAAATAGAGTACTGAATATATAGTCCAGTCATTATAGTAACTTCTCCTCGGAATTCGAGACACCCAGCTGTGAGTCTGTGAATACTTGTATATTGACACCCTAAAGTTGTCTCAAAACCTACATATGGTAGGCTGTCAATACCATTTGTAGGTTTTGAGACAACTTTAGGGTGTCAATATACAAGTATTTACAGACTTATAGCTGGGTATCTCGATTTTCGAGATTCTTACCTAATTTAAGCTTAAATGACTGGACTAATATACAATTTGTCCTCACAATAAAAACATCACTTGATAGTGTTCATCATTTACACTAATTTTTGGCCTTCTTTTTCTGCTTCACGAACGTCTTTAATTTCTTGTGCTGTTATAGAATAGGAGCCACCAAGGGAGGTATTAACTTCAGCAACGCCTTCTGGGTTGATGCGTGGTCCATCACCTAAGGGCTCAACTTCTTGCCTAAGGTAAACAAGAAGAAAATAGTTTCAATGCATCACTTTTAGAAGTTGTGATTTAATACAGTAAAGAAGGAACAGTTATTGTGAATGGAAAAAATCTGGAATGAAATATAGCTTTCTAGATATTTACTTACTTAGTTACACGATATCCTTTTTCATCAGCTTCATAATGCACAGTACGTTTGAAGAAACCATCGCTATAAGAATAACGTCCTCGTAAATTGAGACCGTCTCTTTCTTCTTCTCTGGTTTGATGGTTGTCATTAATTCCATCTTGAACACCACTGCTGAAACTATAATGGGCATCTTGTGCTTGCTTGTAGAACTAGAAAGTAGAAAATAGATTATAATTATACTGCTAAAGAAATTGACGTAAAAAATATATTAACATACATCTTCATCATCAGTTTCGTTTGCTACCGGAACTCCAAATCTTTCAGAAATGACTTCAGCTTCCTTAACTTGCGCATGATTCTGCACTCGCTGCCTAATCACTGGTGCTGGTTGACTACGAGCAACCTGACTAACTTGTGGTACTACTTTAGGTACTTCTCTAACTGCTTCAAATTCTTGTGGTCTGACAATTTCCTGAACTGTTTTCACTGAAGGTATCGACTTACGCGGGGCAGCTTTTACTGTTTGAATAACAACGGGTTCTTGGACAACTTGTACTGGAATTTGATTTTCTTGATGATGTCTTTCCGCAAATACTTGTCTGGTTGTGTATTCTGCTTGCGAAAGAACAGCCTGGGGAACCGGGTGGTAATTTGGGGTTGGAAATACTTCACCAGCTCTTAGATTCGGATTGACAAAAACTTGACCGGTCGGAAGAGGTACGTTTCTTTGATGTTGGAAGAATTGGCCGGGGTTTGGAACTTGGCGGGTTTGTTCTAAAAATACTTGACCGTTTCTGACGTCCATGAAGAATTGACCATGATGTTCTTGGTGAACTTGAGGTACCACTTGCATAACTCTTACTTGTGGCTGCGGGGCCACGTGCATTATGTGGACAGGGATTTTTACTTCAGGTACTGGTTGAACTACAGCAGGGATGGCTTTTGGTACTGGAGCTACTTTTGGAACCACGGTCTGTAATAAACACATATGATTTGTAGTATATTTGGAATGCTATACTTATTATAATTATATTTTGTTTGGAACTAGAAGATTTAGGATATATTACTAGAGTAACATGAAACTATATGATTTGGAATATAATTTTTTACTTTTACTTTGATTACATACCCTTGTAGTTTGTGATTCAGCTACGACTCCTCCTTTATGAAGACGCTGCTCAACAGCTTTAGCTACGGAATCTCTGAAATTTCTAGAAATTTCTTCTAAGCTATAACCAGGAATAGACCGTTGACTTTCCTAAAACAATTATGAACACTATGTGTAAGTGGCATTTTTTCTTAAGACCAGGTAATAAATTTTCCAATATGTGTAATTAACCGATTATTAAGTTATTCTATTAATCCCTTACCTGTGCAGAGACTAATCCTTCCGCCACCATCACCACTGCGATCATTAGCCATGCTGATCCAGCAGCCATCGTGTAAGATTTGATCTACTTGTTCTAAGAAATTATCGTATTTTTTCTAACTTTTTTTTTCTTTTACAGACCCCGGAAGGTGTAATTGGTTTGTGACCTCTCGCTGTTGAATACTGCGGTCAAATAACTTCTGAGTCGCGTTTTCAGGGGTAGTGATATAGTTGACCATTGGCCAAGAGAGGTGAAGCAAGGAAAGAATTGGTGGAAGCCGGTCATCATCAGGGGCAAACGGATAGCATTGCAAGCCTTGCGGGCGTTTGATGTTTGGTATTTCGGTTCGACAGGTACGAATCTTTGTAAATTATTATTTTTGATAAATTATTAATTTTAATTTATGAAATTTATTTGTATATTTAAATTGATTTTTAAAATTCGGAAAAATAATTTAATAAAATATTTTAATAATTATATAGAGTAAAGTTGCTTAAGTCGTACCTTCAATGGAAATATTTCTGTAATATTTAGTACAATTAAAATAAAACACATTCTAGGCCATATGGGTACTAAAATTTTATTTAGTGGGCTTTTGATTAACAAGATTAATATATATGCAATATATGGATTCCACTTAATTCTGCCTATTAATTTAGTTATTTTGGAGATTTTCAAAAAAATATTTTTATTTTTTGAAAAAGATTTATTTAGTAGGCTTTTGATTAACAAGATTAATATATATGCAATATATGGATTCCACTTAATTCTGCCTATTAATTTAGTTATTTTGGATATTTTAAAAAAATGTGCTGTAGGTGCGATTGATGCGCCTAGTCTTCTTAGTCGTACCTATTACGAAACAACTATACTGAATTTAGTCTGAGTTCAACTTTTCTTTAATTGATATTTGCAAAGTAGAACATAATTATTAAAAAGAAGGCTAAAAAAATAATAATTTGAAAAAGTAACGAATGCGCTTATAAAGTTACTATGAAAGCAATATAAATAAACTAATAAATATAAATAAATCAGATGTTCCTTACATATAAGACAATCATTAGAAAGCTTACAATTGAGTCAAAAATATTAACAAAAACTTTATAAAAAGTTCACTTTTGTGAAGTTCACGAAGATATAAAATTTCCTAAAACTTGTCATTATTAGGTACGTTTTTACATGCCAATTTCATTGCTGGTTTGAATATATTATTTTAGATATACTTGCGGTTTAGACTTTGGAGTTTTAAAAAAAACTAATTTGTGTAAATTTTAACTTCCCGTAGGGTGATTATCTAAAAAACATTCAACTAGTAATGATTGGGAGA